AGCCTGAAGGCAATGATTAGAATAATATTAGATAGGTATTGATGATTTTGTCCTCTGTATAAAACAGTTTCCAAATCAGATGCTTAATTTTTTTTTTTATTTTTTTTTTTTTAAATTACCAAGTTGGTTTTATCAAAGTATTCTCCGTCATCACGAATTGTAATAATCCAAATGCAGGACATACTGTGCCTGGACAAATAATGCCTTTTTTTTTTCTTTACAGAATAGATTTGAACCCTCGGGTGTCTTCTACCAAATGTGCACTATACATCTTGGAGTTGGGTTGTGCTGCGAGGTTTGAGTACTGATGCCAGGTGCAGAAAGTACAAAAGATGGTTTGCTTTGTGCTGTCTCAGATGCTGCATATTTTGACAAGCAGCGAAGGATGTGAAAATAACTTCATGGCTTATAACCTCGCATTTGTGGAGCCATAGTCTGCCCTGAATAGAATGGATTTAGCCTTCTACTATATATGACTTGCCTCTGGCTTGAAGTAGGTCATCATCTTTATTACATTGCAAGGGAGTGCTTATTTGCAAAATTAATGCACAGTTATCCACAATAGGCAGATACAAGTTGATATATTCCAGTATACCTGGAATATTTCCAGTCTTCTGGCTGCCTGTGTCCATGTTAGCCTGCGTCAGCTTCCTTGTGTCAGCAGCACTAAAAGGAGAATCAAATCTAATCTCTTATGATAGAGAATAACCTTAGCCTAATGCTACCAGATAAATTTTTTCGTCCTATCTGAAGCTTTTTTTGGAAAAGTGATAAGGTTATCCAAGCTGTAAAGGCTTCATTACTTTTTTGTAGAACTACAATGAAACAGTGTGTCTCAAATAACCCTGCTGCTTCCCGTGGGAAGGGACTGGACTTGTATGTGGACAGTACTAAATGCACTGCAGGTTTACTTCAGAATACGGGAAGATTTCTAGCAACTGTCTCTTAGATTGGCATTGATTTTTGTATTTCTGCAAGATACTTAGCAGTTGTGGTTTCCTACAGGTGTGGAGTTTCGTAAGCGTAGTGGACTGCTCATAAGAGTAACAAAAAATAGGTCTGTTCTTTCTTAACAACCAGCAGGCTTCTGCAGTTTTCTTTTACTTCTAAAGAAAGTGTGACTGAAGTGTGGATAAAGGCATTACCATGAGATCTTGAGGAAGGAATGCTATTTGTGTGTATGCATTTAACTTGAAAAACTTGGGTTTATTCTGTTGTCTAGGAACAGGCTTTTTGGTCCAGAACTGATTGCTAAAAGGATTCTGTATTTCATGTTTTTGCTGTCTCTTTTGTTAGGTATTTCTTTGATGCTGTCCTGGAATGTATGTGCTTATGGGGAATGAGACACCTACTAAAATACCAGGCAATTTTTGTACACTCTGAAGTTTTATTTGGACAGTTGAGAGAAACCTATACATCTGTGAGTCCTACTGAACTCAAGAGATTTAATTCTTAAGAACCTAGTGTTTCAGGTTTTTGCCGCAGAGATGATGGGTTTATATCTTGGCTCACAGCCTGTGAGGCTGGGCTGGTACACATGATGCAAACTTAGCTGAGACGAGTTATCTCAACGAGCAAGTCTGTGAGGAGAGAAGACAGGCTGAAGTTGCTGGCTGTGTAAGTGTAACAGGTATGGTGAATTTTTTTGAGGTGGAAGCTGTGGGTAATGGTGATGTGCAGAAGCAGACCTTTCTGAGTTGCACGAGGTCAACTTGCACAGAGCACCGGTTCCAAATTCCAGTTAGGAAAAGGCTTGAGTTCCTTCAGTTGAAGTAGTCATAGATCCTACATAGTAGGATGCAATATACTTACACAGGGGTTGATTCTCAAGGAGCTATCTAGTTAACGGTTGCTCTGGACCACAAAAAACTGTGTATAGGCGTATTCACTGATATGGGAAGCCAGAAATTTTCTGTAAGTAAAAATAAGTAGAAGTTGCCACTTAAAGGGAAATGGTGAAGCTTGGAAGTTTGCCATGGCGTATGTGTTCTGGTGCGTACTTGATTAAGGACAGAATATGCTAGTCAATACTAGATTTGTGAAAGTTTTTTCAGCTTGTCAGAAGACTTTTGATGAATATGGCACACAAAATAGGTTTTCCATTTCTGTGAGCAACAAGTAATGATTTGTTGCTATGGTTGACTTTGATAAATTTCCTTCTGCCTTCAGCGTACTTTTAACTGTGTGAATAGCCTTTCAAAGATGATAGAAATCCATATTAAGTTTGCCTGTAAGATTCACTGGTGGAAAGGTTCTTGGTTTAGCGCACAAATGTATAGTGGATAATTCAGGGCACTGCTTTCAGCTCCTCTGAGTGATGTTGTCTTCCATTAGGCTTTAATTTCACCTTCTGCAGGTGAAGGTGTTTTTACCATAGCCTGGTAGCTGGCAGTAAGTTTAAATTTGCTTTTATTTTCTTCATTAGTCACTCAGGTTTTGCTTTTGTTTATGATATTAACTTAGCAGGAAGATGTCTGCCCTCATCAGAGGCTGTTTGATTCTCTTGCCAACATCTCCTAAATAACACGCTTTAGCTGTGCATATTGCTGTTGCTCAGTCATATTTGTTATTCTCTGTTGTAAGAGAAGAGAGGAGCAAGGTTGTGGTTATGGACACAGAGTAGAAAATAACACACGAGCAAGGAAGTTACTCATTATCAGTCTTCAAAAAAAAGTATTTGGAAACTCGTCGGACAGGGGTTCATTCTACTCAGCACTGATGGGGCCAAGGCTGGAGTGCTGTGTCCAGTGCTGGGCTTCCCAGTAACGAGAGAGACGTGGCTATATTGGAGAGTCTGGTGAAGGGCCACGAAGATGCCTAAGGGTTGGTGAAAGGAAGACGGAGCCAGGCTCTTCTCAGTGGTGCCCAGTGACAGGACCAGAGGCGACGGGTGCCAACTGAAACACGGACGGTTCCCTCTGAACATCAGGAAACACCTTTTAACCGTGGGGGTGACTGAGCACTGCCACGGGTTGGCCGTGGAGTCTCCATCCTTGGAGGTATTCAGAAGCCATCTAGACATGGCCCCAGGCAACCTGCTTGAGGAGGGGGTTGGACCAGATGACTTTCAGAGGTCCCTTCCAACCTCAACCCTCCTGTGAGTTGCGGTTACTGTGCCAGTGAAGCATCTTCCCTGTTGCCAGTCGTTTAAGTACAGTAAATTGTCAGTCTTGGTTGTGGTACAGTGCATGTTGGAAAAGACTTTCGGTGGGTAAAATTGCCAGAATGATCAAATAATAGAAGTTGTATTAAGTACGAAGGTAACCTGTTTCTCAAGATAATGCTGACATGTTTCCTTAAGTTTCCCAGGAATTTTCTGTATACACACCCTGGTTAACAGCGGGTTACCAGTTGCACAGTAACTAAACATCCTAAACTCTTGTACTGAACAGGTTAATTGAAATAGGGTTGAATCAAACTTGTTCTTTTTACCAAGCATACAACTATCCCTTGCCATCTTGGGAAAAACAAGCAAAATACAGAAATCCTTCTCCTTGCTGCTGTTTGGCGGTCTTGGCTTCAGCGTGATAAATTGATTGCAAGTTGAGAAGCAAGCTGACTTCCACAGTTGCCTCAAGGGAATTTACGTACCGAATACTTGAATATCATACTCTTTGTCTGCTATCTCCCCACTCCCGTCACTCTTTGTAGTTTGGGTTGCTTGTTCCTGAGCAAACTGTTTTTGCTTCGTTGTAGCTTCTTGATTAAATCTTTGTTCTGGTCTCTGTTCTAAAACTTGGGCTAGAAGTGAATCCACTAATAGTTTACTTTAGGAAATTGCTGGCAAGTAACTGATGTTTAGAATTAGAAGGGGTAAATAAGGTGGTGTGCAAAATGTGGGTTCTGTATTTCAGAGTTTGGGTTTTTGTGAACATCGCAAATTACGTAGTAAAACTTGTTTTGATCCAACGTGGATTGGATCTTTTTATTGGTGCCTACTTTAGAATATGAAGTTTTTTATACCTTCTTTTCAAAGAGGTAGATTGTCACAATTTATAAATCCAGACCTGGTCTTTAGGCTATATATACTATTATCTGTGAAGTAGAAAAAGTTAAACTGAAAAAGGTAACAGGAATCTTTAAAATCCCTTTGGAAGAAGCACTGTTTATATTATCTTCATTTATTCTATCCTCGGCCTAATAACTCTGACGTAATAATTTTTTCCTGATAAATAGTCTGAATAACTCTTCTGTGAAGAAGAGATTCTCCCCTTTTCCTCCCCCTTCCCCTGCTATAAATTTCTGAATTTGGTCAGGCTGAAGTAGCTTCTTAAGTCAGTGTAACATTATTGCTTTAAAATCTTGGGTTTGTGCTTTGATGCCTTTTTTTCAGGTATAAATTAGTATTCATAATACTGTTCACCTAAGGTGGTTCTATAATTAACTCTTTCAAGGTGTTGTGAAGAATGAGCGACAACCTGAATTGTTTCATAGTACAGTGCCATAAGTATTCTCTGTGAACTAGAGGTAAATGTCTTTTCCAGATGGTATCCATGGTCTGTAAGAAAATTTGCAGGGTAGACTGAGTGTAGAAGTCAAGGTATAGAAGGTGCTCTTTAAGATCAAGACATTGTGTTCCCATGCGAGTAGAAGAGTAGGGCTCAGTTTTGTGAGTGTTGCTTACACGTGTTACTTAAGGTTTAATGGAACTCCTTCGCTAAACTTTGTAGTACTGTGGAAATTAGGTTGTTAAGTCTTGCAAGAAAAATAATATGATTTTGATAAACATGAAAAGTAAACCGTTCTTAGAAGTTGTTTAGTTGAAGGTTCCTGAATTTTAGAACCAAATTTAATTTTTCTCTGTTTATCTCAGAAGCAAGCTGTGTGTTACTGTCACTGGATGAATGGGATAGCTTTGTGCACTCTTTTACTGATAATTAAAATACTTCTATTATGATTTTTTTGTTATTAAATATCAAGAAATTGTATTTTTTTTGTTGTTTTAGGACAGATTCTCTAGGTTCTTTTTGATTACAAAAATTTTAAATTTTCTCTTTTAGGTCTGGAATATCAAACAGATGATTAAATTAACACAAGAACATATAGAGGCACTGCTAGACAAATTTGGAGGAGAGCATAACCCACCATCGATATATTTAGAGGTAAGTTTACGCTCGAATGTGGTTAGATTAATGGTGTGTTATCTTAATCTTATATGAAGCATTTTATGTTAAAACTGAGGATACCTGTAGTAGAAGAGAATATTCTTGTGTATTAGAAGCTTAACTCTTTCCCTGAAGATAGAAAGGAACCGTACACATACAGTAGGGGAAGATCAGTGGCATGGCCTCACAGATACGTTGGTGCAACTGAAATGTAAAGCATCCTTTTACGGTGCAGAGGTGAGTGAGGTCATGTGTATAATAGAAAAAGGTAGGCTGTGTTGTTAAAAGCAAATACGTACACATACCCATGAAAACAACTATAAGATTAACATTGCCTTTAAAGCTGTTGACTTTGCTTTTTCTCTCTTTGAAAAATAATCACATGGAATACAAAAAATTAGTAGAAGGGAATTTCTTAAAGAAATACATAAGATTGTATGGCGGAGTAGTACTTTTAAGTTGTGTTTAATTTGTAACCTAAACTGCAAATTGAATTTCTGTATTCTTTCTTCACTCCAGATTCAGAAAGTTGCATTGATGTAGGACCATTAAGAGCATAAAAAAGGACTGCGTGCATAAGTTACATTTATTAGGAAGTGAATGGATATCACTTGGTCCAAACCCTGCCCTTTTCTTGGTTCTCTCAAGTATTGAAATAACTGGAAGTCAACCAGATTTCTTTTGTAGTCTTTTTCATTGTAATTGCTACCTAAAGGCACTGGGTAATTAAAAATAAAGATCTCATTATTTGAGGTACTTCTAGCTTTTATCTTAATATGTCAGAGCAGGGCACTAGCTTGATTATACAAATATTGACATAACGTCCTTAACGGTTAAGGTCAAATGAGGCCCTCTATAGTTGCTTTACTTATTGCTAATGTGAAGTGGGAGTGTTGAATGAGTGCTGATCACTATTTCAACCACTTAATGGTATATAAACACACCTCTGCTTTCACGTGAGGCAGTTCATTCCGAATGTCTGGATATAATATTGCCACGTGTATGTTGGTTTCATTAGATTGTGTATCATTTTGCAATAATAATGAACTTAGTCTGTACTAAATCTGGATTTCAGGTAGTGAAATTGTTAGTTTATTACAGCCATTTGTCACTTACTCGTATCTAAATTAAAACTGAGATCCCAATACTGGAAGCTTTTCGTTTATTCTGTAGTTAATTGATAGGGAAGAGAGCATTTGCAGTTGTAAATGCGTGCTAGGAAATTATTACAATAGCGTAAAGAATACGGTAATTCTGAAACAATTTGTGACTACAAACCATGAAGTGTAACGTAAATTTGCAAGTTTGATGGTTCCATGTGCTGCCGAGATGAAACTGCAACTCTGGCTCGTCAGCGCGGTAGGGAAGCCCGGCAAGACAGAGCGGAGCGGCACTGGGGCAGCGAGTTGCGCTGGGTCAGGAAGTGACTCGTGTGGCAAGTGGTGCTGGTAGTGGCTAGGGAGCGGCGAGCCACGGAGAGGAGGGCAGGAGTGACTGGCATTCTGCTTTTGCAGGTGAATTATCCCGAGAGACAGCAAGTTCTGTGAGAAGAGCCACTGGCAGCGAAATGCTTTCCCCAGCTCTTTGCAGTGTGGTTCTGCTTCCTGTGTTCGGGTACTTGCAGTACCAGTAGCGGCTAAACCACTTCCAAGCACTAACCTGGACGGGAAATATTCTGGGTTTGTTGGGTTAGTTTGCCATCCAGTTGGTAGATGGAACAACTTCCTGATGAAATCCAGTGAAACCCAAAGCCGTGCTTAAGGTCGGGGAAGGCGGGGGGGGGGGGGGAAGAGCTTGCAGCTGTGAGCCAAGAACCAAGAAAACGGGGTAAGAGAGGAGAGGAACTTTCAGTTTGAATGGTCATTAGCTTAGATTGGGTCATCCTCAGGTGGATTGAATGAAGTGAATAGGATTAAATGCTGCAAACCTGTTATTTGTTTAGTGTGTAGATTTCCTGTGGTAGAAGTAGTGTGCAGGAAAGAAAAAGAAGAAATATGTTACAGAGTACCTGATACAGTCAGAGTCAAGATCACTGTCTACCCGTGATTGCTCATTTCAGTCCAGCAGCAGTTGTCTGGTGCGTCCTTTCTGTGCCTTTCCTGCCTTTTTGGCTGCTTTTGGCTTGGCCAAGAACAGGGTTTACTTTCTGTTACCAGAATTTACTTTGCAGCAATTTACCTGAATCTAATCTGTCGATGCAAGAGCTCATGTTTTGGCTTTCTGCATTCTTCTACGTGTCAGAAACAGATCCTGAAAGGACAAAGCTGTAAGTAAAAAGCTTTGAATGTAGTGTGATGAAGTATGGAAGAAGATGTTTGCTTCCAGGAAATGCGGCACTAAGAAAATACAGTAGTTTTGATACGAATAAAAAGAACCACTGACTTCTATGTGTGACCCCTCCTTCCCCCCAGGCTTTCGCATCTAGGCAACGCAGAGGATTTGATGCTATAGTCTGTGTGCTATTTCCAAAGTGCTTAAACAGGAAGGTAACATACTCTGTCCATCCTCTTCTGAATATTATCTTCTGATTGTTTTGCTGAAGCCTCATTTCTGGCTGTAAAGTGCAATATTGCCCTGCTTTTTCTGTATGGGTAATTTTGATAGGCTGTTACTTGGACTGCAACACCCTTTTGCCTTTGTTTCCTTCCACTGCTCTGATCTCTTTGCATCTTCCATAAAACGTGGACTTCTGCAGATTGTGACTGTTGATCATCTCTTGAGTGCTATCAGCAAGCATGGTTTCTGCTTAACAAAAGTTGGAATTAGTCAAAGCTAATTGCTAGATAAGTACCTGCAAATGAACACTTTTGCTTTCACCAATATTGCCTTTCACTCTTGTAAACATCTAGTTTGTTATTGTAATAGTTTCTGCAAAACCATGGTTTTTTGTATACCTATGAAAAGCTTGACAGCTATCCATTCATCTTCTGGTGTGTAGGGTTTCGGTACAATAGGATTTGTTCAGTTCTTTTGTACTCCTGTCTGGATTTATATCCTTCATTTCTTACGCATCGTACTAACTGCTCACGTTCACAGAACTTAGAGCACCCTTTGTGCTGGCTCCCGGCCTGTGCTGGAGCTGCCTTTGTAGACCTGTCAAGTAAAGTTGTGGTTAAACCTGGTGACAAAATTGCATTTCAATTAAAAGTGGAAAGGAATGGTTTGGGGGAGTGGAAGCATGCAAAGGAAAACTGAAGAACTGAACAAGAAAATTAATTCTGAAAGCAGAGCATTCAAAGGATGTAGTAACTTTATAGGTGCCTTGAATATAAAACATACAGCTCATTTAAAAATAAAAAGGAATTTATGCCTTAGGTATAGTTGCTCAAGAAAATAGAAGATAACAAGGTTTTGTTTCTATGCCTATCTGAGAGTAAGATGACAAAACTTTTTTTTTTGTGGCAGACTTTTTTTTTTTCTTTAATTCTGGTGGGGGTTCAATGCTGTTTACATCAAAAGAACTTTAAAACTGACAGTTATTGTCACAGCCATCATTTCACAATTCATCAATTGACTATGAAAGAGGAATTAATTTCTTGAAATATCAGAAGTGATTGACATGTGCTGTGTTGAATTCAGCATATATTTAATTATTCCCTCGCGAGGGGGTACTTGAGTTCAGAGGTATCACCCTGCCTTGATCCACCGCTCCCCAGTGACTGTCTCAAAGGTGACTGTAGAGCACGGGGAGCAGGGCCTGCAAGCCTGGGTGGGCTGCTTGGTTTGCAGCTGCCTGGGAGTGGAAAGTGCAGTGTGAAGCTGGAGGGCAGTGGGTAGCTTGTCCCTCTCCTCTCTGGGCAGGAAAGCAGGGGCTGAGAAAAGAGACCAAAGCTGCAGAGAGACTTCTGCGTGCGTATATATGGTACAGAGGTGGGAAACAGCATGAGCAGAAGAAAGAAGAGAACGTTTGTCATTAAGCACACAATTTTCTTCTAATTGTTATACTTTTTCGTGATAGCTTTGGGAATCTGATCAATGGTCTCTAATACGATTGCAAGAAAAACTTCTCTGCTTGTTCTGTCTGGAAGAAATAATAAATGTAGTAAGCAAGGGCTGTATTAGAATTTTAGCTACAAGTCATTTTAGATTTTTTCTTAGCTAATCCTAGTTCTTAACTTTTTCCATCCCCGGTGTGTAAGCAGAGATCTGTTTCTCGGGTCTAACAGACCCTTGGAAGTCACTGTCAAATATTTGAAATGACTACTTGACTCAGTAGATGTAGAAATATCACTAATAGCCTTTTTTTTTTTTCTTTTCTTCTGGAAGAGAGGCTGCAGGAGCTCCTCAGTAAGTTTTACCACACTTCTTGGAAGCCCTCTGTATCACAACAGCTGAAAACATCAATGATTATTGTCTTCCCACATAATTTCTCAGTGTGTTATATCTGTCCTTGCAGTGCTGTTTCCCAAAATACAGTTTGTGATTCACTGTGGAAAAACCCTTTTTTAAGGGTTTGTCTAAGCGTTGTAAATATTGGAAATCTTTACTGCAAAGAAGCCTAATGCTGTGATACTGGGGAAAAGCTGGGATTCAGTTAGCAAAAATGTTTAAAATATACAGTTGCGTGTTCTTGTATAATGGCCATCCAATTTTTTTTTTTTTTTTTGTCTCTACCAAGAAAGTACTGATGAAAACGATAACCTAAGTTAGGGAAAGGAGAATAAAGATCTGTGTACTTCAGCTTAGCATTGGCAATATATGCTGTTTACAAACTGAAATGGGTTGTACAAATTCAGACTGTCCAAAAGCAGCTACCTCAAACTTAGAAAGGAGAGCTCATGCGTAAATGACTTAATTTGTTAGCCTTTGTGGACTCTTGAGGCCGTACCTATTTAAACTTCCAAAGCGCATCGTGTGTCCTGGCCTCATAGTTATGTGTACAATATTATCTGTGAACACATCATCTGTTAGAACTTAATTGAAGAGTATTAGCCCATTCGTATGTAAATAGTTCTTCCTGTGGTGCAAAGTAGCATCCTGGGCCTGTAGGTTGCTTC